GGATGGCGATCTGCAACGGTTGCAGAAGGATATATCGAAGAGTCCATCAACAATAAAATAGAGATTGCGAAAAAGATTCCAGGTGCTGAAGTGTTCCAGAACGAGCCGTTATGTAATGACAGAACCTATCTCAAGCAGTTTAGGGACAGCTTCTGGAGGCATACAAGGTTTTACCAATTTCTGAATCTACAAAAAAAACATTTTTATTTAATGTTAATGTTAATTTAAATAAATAATTGAATTAGCAATTTATGAATAAAGCTTAATAATTTCTATAAAATGGTGTGGCATTGAAGTTATAACACACTAATTTGTTATAACTTCAAAAACTCACGCGTGTGTTATACTTTGCCACTTGTGACATGTAAATCTAAGAAAAAAAAACAGTTAGTACTCTTGTATCCCTTTGTAAAAAATAAATACACACACCGGAAAAATCTAGGGATATTAAAATTTTATCCAGCCATCGTCAGTAATTTTATTATTTGCATTTCTGATATAATAAAATTAAAATAAACAAATAGTTTACAGGACGTATTGGAAATAAAAATGAGAAATTTACCGAATTTTTCAAATTTACCTTGATTTTTATTGAACTCAAAAAAATACACACATTTTTTTTTTATTCTAAACTGTAAATTAAAAAAAGAGATAAAACCATTTTTACTTAATAAAGAGTATAGCCTCCTCTACTGTTCATTACAACCCTACATCGTCTCTCCATGCTCCTGATCAGGTTGTCGATCTCTTCTTGAGGTACAGCCTGCCACGCTGCATTCACGGCCCGAACCAGATCCCTACGAGTTTCACGAGGCATACCCATTCTCAAAATCCTTCTTTGGACCGCGTCCCATACGTGCTCGATGGGGTTGAGGTCAGGAGATTGTGCCGGCCAGGGTAAGATGTTTAATTGATGAGCATTGATAAACTCACTTACCACTCTGGCTGTATGAGGCCGTGCATTGTCATGTATGAGAATGAAGTTTCTCCCAAAATCATTGGCATATGGTAACACGACAGGCTCAAGAATTAAATCACGATATTTGGTTCTTGTTAGAAACCTTTCAAGAAAAACGAGATCGGTTTTTCGGCCTAACTGGACTCCTCCCCAGACCATAACTGTTCCACCTTGATAAGGGTGCACTTCCTGAACATGATCCAACCGAATAAAATTTCCCAGTTCTCTCCTTACCCTAAACCTTCTCGAATCCGGATGAATTCCAAAGCGTGACTCATCCGTGAAGAGAACATTGGCCCATTGTCCATTCGACCACTGAACATGATCTTGAGCCCACAAATATCGTACCTCTCGATTTCCTCTCGTTAAGGGTTGAGCTCTCCAGGGTCGTCTGCTTCTTAAGTTGACCTCTCTTAATCTATTGCGAACAGTGTCAGGACTAACGGTTACATTATGTGTTTCCTGGAGAACTAAACTAAGATCTGGTGCTGTAAGAGTCGGTCGGCGTCGAGCACTTAATTGTAAAAAATGATCTTGCTGAGGGGTAGTAATGCGATGTCGCCTTGTGTGCCTTTCAGCAACATCACCACTTTCACGGTAGCGTGCACTTAATCGCGATATTACACTTTGCGTTGCATTTAATGCTCTAGCTACGTCGATTTGGCGCATTCCAGCTTCAAGCATACCCGTGGTCTTTAGCATTTCGTCTCTGTTAAGATGTCTACGCTCCATAATGTCGTTTAATACTAAACAGAGTTATTTGAATGAATTCTGGCCAGTTATCATAAAAACATTGATGCTAGGTGCTTTTTATACGTTTGTCAAAAAATGTACAAACACTTCTGCAAATATCCCAAATTTAAAAATAACTAGTGTGACTACTTCGTTTCAATCGAAGTAGAAAGAATCGGCCTACAAATATGTGGTTGTTTATTCAAAACATTTATTTTTAACTTTAATAAAATGATATCCGTAGATTTTTCCGGTGTGTGTAGTTTGTTTTTCTCTTTGCTCTATAGAAAGAATATTTGTTCAAACCTACAAGTAACCTTCCTTTTCACCCTAAACAAGGGGTTTCTTACCCTCTTTTTCTCGGAATGGGCAATCTTCTCCCCTGGCAGACGAATCAATCAAAGAAAGACTGACGTATAAGCTGATATAAAAGTGTTTATGGCCGTTTTATCCCCGACCAATTGCTGACTGGGCTCAAATATTTGCTCTAGTTAATTTGTTTGCACTTCCTTCGAGATTAGGGCCGATTTGTTTTGATTTTCATCCTTTTACGAGTTGTTTTTTTGATTTTTTTTTCTTTACTTACACCCTATTCCTCGATTATGTATAATTATTATTTGTATATTTTTATCCATCCAATTCAAAATTTAAAGTGTGTGACACATCTAGCAGTATCTTAGAATTTGATCTTAGATGATCTGTCAGTGAGTCAACGTCAAAATTAAAGAAATTTGACCAACGATAATTCATAAACTATGAGTTATAATTACTAGATATTTTGGTAACCTAGCCAGCTATAGTATGTCTTCATGTGTACTGAAAATTAATATCCTTGCTTTATACATAACGAATTAGAATACTGAGACATCTGCTACAGATGAATCCCAAAGATCTGCTTTCGAAAATAGAGTTCTTTTTCCATCAAGTCCATATATTTTCCTCTAAACTACATCGATATCGTTTAGTTGGAGAACTAATGACGAGAATAAACAAGAATTCTTACATGCAACGATCCTTATCCTTCTGGAAAACCGTTCTAGAACATTTTCTCACAGTGTTTCCATCGGATTTATCGCTTCACTTTCCAGCCGACGCGACGGACGAGTTTTCCGACGATTCAGCAAGTGTCGAATCGGAAAAGCGGGAAAATTCGAGTCTTTTATCGATAAATTTCGCTTCGTAGATGAAAATTTGCAAGCTCCGGCCTGTACGCTTGTCTAAATTTGATTTAGTACCGGTCAGTTTTAGCTCTAAGAATTTCCAGCAAGTCTTAAACTTGCTTCGGAGGTAAAAAAATGATAAAGAAACAATATTTGTGTTATAGAAAATATAAATATATAGTAAATATATATATAGTCAAAAAACTTCCAGACACCAATTTTCATCTAAATATTGACGTTATTTCATAAATTATTCGGAAAAAATCGAAATAAAAATGAAAATTCTACACCCTGTATCTCCGGAACTGGGCATTTTAGGACATACATTTATACGAACGTTTTTACTTATTTTACAGTTCGGACCACCCTGTATATGATTATTAAATTATATTGCTACATTTTTTCTGCATTTACTACCAAAAAATCGTAGTAAAAAAATACTAGAAGGACCAACATATAATAATAAATTAAATGGTCTAAAGAACAGAAATTATCTTTCCTTCTTTTAATAAAAATATATAAAAAAAAATCCTCCCCGGTGCTGTCTAACTTCAATTACGTTTCCCCCAAGACGAAAATTCTTATTAAAAAGCTCCCCGTGCCATTCTTGTTTCGAAATTATTTCTGTTACCGTAGAAAAGTGTTTATTTTGACGATGGAAAAATTGAGAGAAAAAAAAACGGGAAAAGACTTTTTTCCCCATTTTCTTCTGGTTTTTCCTTTTCTCTCATTTTTTTCGGTCTCGGACTTGCTTAGTTTACTCCATTTAGTTTTTATTGAAAATTGAAGAGGGCGTTCGAGGTTTTTTGCCAAACTTTCCAAAGACTTTTCCAAAGTAAATTTGTGTCATGTTTCTTCTTCGAATTTGTCAGAAAGTTTCGTAAAAGTTAAGTTATTTTATTTTTAGATCTTTTGTTATTGTTTATTGTTTTCTTTTCAAACTTTATTATGAAATAATTGTAGGATATACAGGGTGGGTCCGAAATGTAATCGACAAATTAAGGTAATTAGTTTAATCCTTAAATACAGGGTGGTACGAACTGTATTCCGGAAACTTCGGCAGCATTTTCTGCAGATAAAAATAAGTAAAAAAGTTCCTGTAAATGTATGTCCTAAAATGCTTAGTTTCGAAGATACAGGGTGTAGAAGTTTCATTTTTTTATTTCGATTTTTTCCAAATAATTTCTGAAGTAACGTGAATATTTGGATGAAAATTGGTGTCTGGATGTTTTTTGACATGAGAAATTTGATTTTGATGTCAATATGACTCCTACTTGTAGAGGGCGCCACCTATATATATTTTAACTGGTTTGAAGAGTAATAACTTTTCGTCCGTACCTGTATAAAAAGATTGAGTAAGAAAATATTCATTTACGAGGTTTTTTACGTAAAAAAGGTATCTTGGTAAAAATCGCTACGAGTAATGGTTCTCGAGATATTTGGAATCGAAATTATCAATACCTGTCATCATTGACATAAATTAAACAATATTTTGACTAAATATTTATTAGACAGAAATAATAAATTTGAAATGCTGTGTCAAAAGTTCAACATAAACTGTTTTGTCATCATTTTTTCGCAGAAAAATTTATGAATAATTAAAATAAAAATAAAAATTTACCAAATTTATTATTTCAGTCACATAACTATCTACTCCTGATCAAATCGATTGGGGAACATACAGCAGTGATTTTGATACCTCATTGTTATATTTCTTAATAGATTATTTTCTTTTATCTATGGTTATATTTCTTAATAGATTATTTTCTTTTATCTATGGTTATATTGTATTCCCTCCTGCCTTAAACTGTCACTCTTTATTATTATAAATAAAATTTTACCGGTATATAGGCATCAAAAACGGTTCGCGCACATTAAAATAACGATTAATCACAATTTACGCTTGGATAAATTGAATTCTGCTACGCGAGGAGGAAATTATTTTTTCTTGTCGCGAAAAAAATCAAAACATCGCCAGGCAGGAGAATTTATGCCTTGATTTGTAGTCTATATAATTTTTTCTTCCGAATTTTTATTCTTTTTAAATCATTGTGCCTTAGTTAATGTACTGTATGATAAACTGAACATGAATTTTCTTTTAATGAATTTATTTATTTATCTTATTGTAAAGTTTATTTTTTTTGTTACAGGAATAATAAGAACCACTGCCATTTTGGACATTGAAACGAAGAGTCACTATTGGCTGACGGTTTTTGCTCAAGATCATGGAGTCGTTCCATTGTACTCATCTGTAGAGGTAAGTGTCTTGTTATTATTTTAATTACAGCTCTCTGGGTATATATATTCCTAGTATATATTCCGGAAAATGCCGAACCGATCCAAAATTATCAAAAGCTTTGGGTCGCGACCGTTGCAAGAATAGCGTCAAATAGTATTTATATTGTCTTTATGGGCACTTTCCAATCTAAACTTGTTTCATTTATCTATGACACAAATTAACTTTTTTTAAAATTTAACTTTCATTTATCATTAAAAAACTGAAAAATCACAGATCAGATACAGAAAACATAATTCAACATTTCTACACTGTTCTTTTCGACTCAGAATCATAGAGAAGGGATTGTAACATCCCCTAATCGAATAATCAAATCGTAAAGCAGCCCATATAGCAAATTAGGGCTAAGGATTGCCGGCCGTTAAATTAGTTTTGCGGCCGAGGACAGGACGACAACAACGGGGACTAAAGTTTGTCCCGGCTCTGTCCCTGCTGCCGCTGCCCAGTAATTACGACAAATTTCGATACGTAAATTTAGGTTAGGTCTCGCTTGCTCCGGCTTCGGATAGAGCTAGAACCGGCTCTAATTTAGACTGAGCGGACTGCGCTGGACAGTTACGGAGTTTATGGTCGCCACTTTAAAAGGGACGAGGTGTCCTTTTTCTTTCCTTTTAGTTGGTAGGTGTACTGGGAGATATAATATGTTTGAATTTAAAGAGGATGTAGAAGGTATCATAGTTCAAAAACATACATACATATATGTAGGTACTGATTTCTTTCGAAAATCGACTACTATGAAACTATGATTCCTTCGCGGACACAAACGGTACATTGTGAAACAGGAAATTGTAGAAAGAAACAAGCCCTATAACATAGGATACAACATTTTAATGAACAGTGATTTCCATAAAATCAATAAAATGAAAAATATACGAAATAATATACATGTACTGATTTCTTTCGAAAATCGACAACTATGAAACTATGATCCCTTCCCGGACACAGACGGTACATTGTGAGACAGGAAGTTGTAGAGAGAAACAAGCCCTATAACATAGGATACAACATTTTAACGAACAGTGCTTTCCATAAAATCAATAAAATGAAAAATATACGGAATAATATACACGTACTGATTTCTTTCGAAAATCGACAACTATGAAACTATGATTCCTTCCCGGACACAAACGGTACACTGTGAGACAGGAAATTGTAGAGAGAAACAAGCCCTATAACATAGGATACAACATTTTAATGAACAGTGCTTTCCATAAAATCAATAAAATGAAAAATATACCTACGAAATAATATACATGTAGTGATTTCTTTCGAAAATCGACAACTATGAAACTATGATCCCCTCCCGGATACAAACCGTACATTGTGAGACAGGAAATTGTAGAGAGAAACAAGCCCTATAACATAGGATACAACATTTTAATGAACAGTGCTTTCCATAAAATCAATAAAATGAAAAATATACGAAATAATATACATGTACTGATTTCTTTCGAAAATCGACAACTATGAAACTATGATCCCTTCCCGGACACAATAGGGAAGATATGTATTGGATTTGTCGCAATTTTGTCGTAAAACATGAATGTTTCTGTCTTGTCGTTGTTTTGTCTGCTTGGTCTGGACCCAGCATTGTGTTAGATTCTCCAGCCCTAGTCTAGCAACTTAGAGACTGAATCCTCCACATGACTCTTCATGTTATAGTAGGAAAACATTTAAAATTATAGTAGTTTTTTTGGAAAAAGCCAAAAAAAAATGAAAAGTACATGTCTTTGTCGTCGCTAATATATTTTTTTATATTTATCTAGTTCAAAAAGTCGATTTTTTTGGAAACAAAAATAATTTATCCGCGTGCATCCTGCTTGGCACTGACCATAATAATAAATCATTTCTATCTGACCGGCCAGTCCAGGCCAAAACGAACAAAAAAAAAGAGCAGCCAAAAGCCAGGACGTAAGCCTTTATTTTTCTCCTTTTTTTTCTTCCTAAGATTTATTTTATAAAACGTATAGACTCTGGTCTGGATAGTACAGGATAACGAAAAAGCTGTAGAACACAGTCCTTATTGTAAAATGGATGCCTTCTTTAAATTTCAATAAGGTTTTACAATTTCTGAATCTACAAAAAAAATTTCATTTAATGTTAATGTTAATTTCAAATTCAAATTGTGTCAAATGAATCGTCAAACAGAACTGTCAAGAATCTCCTCCTGGAGCCTTCCTTAATCTTATTATTCAAAGATAGGACTCGATAGCCACCTGAAAAATCTAATCTAATATCTAATCAGACTTTTTTCTAGGATTTTTAGTACCTTTTATTTTATTTCGAACAAATTTATAGTTTATTTCGCAGGGGTTTCCAGATGAAATGGAAAAATTCGATTTGCTTGCAACATAAACCGTTCACTTTTATATGTTTCCGACGCGCCAAATAAATTTTTGTGTTCCGTCATGTGCCCTTTCTTCTTATTCTTTTCCGCCTCTTTTTTTATTTTGGTACGCCTGCATAATATAATTTATAACCCTTTCGGTCCTTTCTTTCCAAGGAAATTCCGATTTTCTTTTCAATAGAATATCGGTAGGTTTAAAAAGGAATCTTCATATATTTCCGGTTTCCCTCCCAATCTTTTTTTTTGAGCGTAAATATCTTACTTCCGGTATCTACAAGGAAAAAAAGTTGGTACAAGTGTGCATATTAGCTACTCCATTACTCGCTGACGAGTATTTGACACGCATCAGAATCTGCTTACGCAAGGCGTTTTCTTTCGTGAGTTTTCGTGAGAAGAAGTACAATTCTCGGATTGGATGGTATAAATTCATTATTAAATAAAATTATTATCATCAAAAGAATATATTAACACCGAACTATAACGAGAAAACTGTCCTGGACTGGGTCCTTTTGAACTGGATGGCATATGTCCATCGGCAGTTTACCATTAGCTGAAGAAGTATGATTTTTGGATCGGAGGGTATAACTTCATTATTAAATAACATTATTATCATCAAAAGAATATATTAAAACCGAATTATAACGAGAAAACTGTCCTAGACTGGGTCCTTTTGAACTGGATGGCATATGTCCATCAGCAGTTTACCATTAGCTGAAGAAGTATGATTCTTGGATCGGAGGGTATAACTTCATTATTAAATAACATTATTATCATCAAAAGAATATATTAAAACCGACTTATAACGAGAAAACTGTCCTGGACTGGGTCTTTTTGAACTGGATGGCATATGTCCATCGGCAGTTTACCATTAGCTGAAGAAGTATGATTCTTGGATTGGAGGGTATAAATTCATTATTAAGTAACATTATTATCATCAAAACAATATACTAAAACCAAATTATAACGAGAAAACTTTCCTGGACTGGATCCTTTTGAACTGGATGGCATTTGTCCATCGGCAGTTTACCATTAGCTGAAGAAGTATGATTCTTGGATCGGAGGCTTTAAATTCATTATTAAATAACATAATTATCATTAAAAAAACATATTAAAACCGAATTATAACGAGAAAACTGTCGCTTTTGAACTGGATGGCATATGTCTATCGGCAGTTTACCATTAGTTGAAGAAGTATGTTTGACGCAGTCATCAGCGTATTGAAGTTCTGTGATGAATTTTGTACGTGTCTTTGCCCTGAGTGTTTCCTGCAATTTGCTGTCCACTATAATGGAGAGCGCTGCGATGAATATGTTGAATAGGAGAGTGACCAAAAGTGACATCAGTGTAAATCCAGCTTTTAATATACGTTTTAGTGAAACATTTTCAACAGTTATTGCTGTATTTTCTACAAATAAACGATTCCTAGCCAAATTTCATGTAAAACATCAAGAATTTTCTTGTTAACAATCGGGAATATCGAGAAACGACAAAAAGCCAACTCAATATCGATCTCGAAAGCAAAGAAGTTTTGCTATTTAGCCTCGAGCGCGGTATGGAGAAGAGACTTCCACTAGAAAATGACATCGAAGCAGATAAGGCCAAATGTAAACTCTTTGTTAGCATGTTATAAAAAGGGAGGAGAACGTGCACGTACGTCGAACTCTGGAAACTTTCAAGAGTATCTCTTACTTTGCAAAAAGTTATCGCGCGCAGGGTTAAAGGATAAGTTTTTCGAGCTTATATGAAATATAAACCGTGAAATATCGAAGTTTGTTTTTCTTTGCGTGATACCGGCCATCGGGGATGAAAGAATTACGTAGGCACTGAAAAAAACCTGTCTAAATTTTATCGGATTATCTAATGAAATGAAAACAGTTTTATCATTTTACTTTAATTTGAAGAACGAGGAAAATTCAAGTTGAGTTTATATTCACAATTATTGTTCATATTTCTTCAAATCCAAGAGACTCAATTACACTTACTCACTCTGTATACATGAATAATTATTGATTTTTAAAATATTTATTGGCAAACTAGGGACAGGGAAATCAGACAATGAACAGAGATGAAAGGTATTTATTATAGCTCTGTGTGCTAAATCATAAATTATCGCAAATATTATAACTATTATTTTTGCATCATGTTTACTACAATTTTATTGTTAAATATCTTCGAATAAAAAGATTATTAAATATTATTTTTTTAGTATTTTACTATTATGCAACCGAATATACACCGCGATATACAGCTACACAACATTGTCACTGGATGCCGCCACCAGCAGTAGGATTTTTATCTAACCAACACCCCCTCCACTTAAGGCCATTCAACATTATATGCGCAAGGCAAATATGGCAGCGAAGGCAGTGCATTTTTAAATTGTTTACCTTAGTGGTTTCTCGTTCCGATTGCATACCAGAAATAATTAATTATCTCTAGTTTGTTGTGCTTCTGCAACACGTTTGTTTAGTTCTTAGTGTTCAGTGGCGTGATAAAAAAAATGTGATAAAATAAGAGTGTAATAAAAATCAAAACTAGATATTCCACATAGGGATCTTCAAACTTTTGTGCTTGTCGTACTCCTGTATTATTCATTATTTTAAGGTAAGAACTAGAAGTATTTATCAAGATATTACACCTAAATGAGTAAAAAGCCTTCACCGCCAGTCTGCATAGTACTTTATAATGGTTACTTACAATAATCAAAAGATAGGTATTAAAGGGTTAACATTTTATTGTATTGTTGCATGCCTTTTACATGCTCTGTTCCAAATTGTCACGGGAATTATAGAGGAGGTCCCAAGGTTTCTGCTTTTATATTCCCCAAAAATTACGAGCTTCGTAAAAAATGGTTGACAGCTATTAAAAGAGATAATTTCACTCCTACTAGTAGTTTTCGGGTAAGAAGTGCATTAAATATGCCTCAAAAAGGCCAAAGCCTCTGTTACCCTAGTGAGGATGTAGTTATGGCTCACTATAAGTAAAATATTGGAAGAAGAATCAAGCTTTTTGCACCAAAAAGATCACAGAAAGATATTGACAACATTGACATTTGAAAATATAAATGGCCTGGATGTAAGTCTTTTTTTAGGTCACAATTGCCCCTCGCATACGTCAGAATTTATTATTAAATCTATCTTGTTCAGAATATCCAATATTTTATTGAAGAACTAAGCAAAAAAAGGGAATGACGTCTTTACCACAAAGACAATGCCCTATGTAAAGAGAAAGAGTAAAGAAAACTAAGCTAAGCGTAAGTTTTACTTACGCTTACGAACCCCCAAAAAGGTATTTAGTTTTTTTTCTATATAAAATCTTGAAACACATATTATTTTTTTTAGTTATCCTCACCTATATTATAGTTTAAATTTATTCCCATTTGTGTAATGCTGCAAAACATAGAAAAAATATTTGATATTTTTTTATCCAAGCCAGTGTAGTTTATAATTCCAAGAGCATTTACCAAGGCTTTTACTAAGACAAGTAGCTTCATATACTGTCCATAATAAAAAGTAACTTACTGATATTTTCATAAAAGTAATAAAACAAAAAATCCATACTTATGTGGAGAGACTTAGACTGCCTGTATATTAAAAAATTAGTGAAATATTACGTAATCTAACCCGACATTTGTGTGAAAAATGTCTATTTGGTAATAAAACAGGGTTTAAAATACGCGCCAAATAGAGCACTTCTATCTCCGCCATATTGGAAACCGTTGAATAGCCTGAAGTGGAGGGGGTGGTGGTCTAACTCTTTTTATCTTTGATCCGTCACTACCTGTCCGTCACTTGTCACTGTCAGATCAAATCAGATGTTTTTCGATTTATTTATCTTTTGTTTTGGTTATTGAAATTTTATAATAATTATCAGATAAAATTTCGTAGTTAAATCGTTTATTTTTGATGTGGATCGCTGATGATGATCGCAGTGTGCAATTCGTTCATTTAATTGTGGGAATTTGTGAGTTAAGTTCGTTCATTGACCGGAGATGGAATGCAGTGGAAAATATTCTAAAACATCGTTTTTTTATTTAAGCCTTTTTGTGAGTTGGACTAGTCGAGCTATATAGTTCTCTATCTATATCCTGCAGGGAGATTTCCGGTTGAAGTATGATTTTGTGAAGAAAATTCATTCCCTGTTGGTATTTAGCAGGTCTTCCTTGAGAAGGACAGAGAGGTCTTCCGAAGCACATTTGGTCAGAAACGTGGTTGTATTTTGTGGGATTTACATGGACCACCGACCAAATTTCCGTCAAGGGATTAAATAGCCGAATTTTCCGACCGATATTCCGATTCCACATGCCCACGAACTCCTCAAGTAGTTCCAAGGTATGCTATAATTCTTCTGCTTATTCTAAGTCAATGCTCACCTGATTTTTGTTCATATTGTTGACTGGTTTTCGACTTTTCCACGCCCACATGGTGTAGAAAGATTAGTTGAGTGTTATCTTTCTTAAATCTTATTCGGTTGTTCGTAATTGTAGAGCAAGAAGTCCGATATAGAGCCGTACAGCACAGAACAGTCCAGAATTCCATCCGATCCTGTTGCTCGTGTAAAGTTCCAAACAAGTTAGCCAACAAATGAGCAATCAAAACGAAAGAATAGAATAACTCATAGTCTAAAGATATTAAACCTTCAAGTACCTGCGGGTGTGGACCTGCTAAACTAAGAAAAACTCTTATATATTATTTTTGACAAAGTTTTTTTGGTTTCAGGTGTACATCGAAGTACTGAACGAAAACGACAACATCCCTTTGAGCGAGTACCCTGTATATTACCCAGTGATACAAGAGGATAGTCCACCCGGGACACTGGTCCAAGAAATTAGAGCCAGCGACAGAGACAAAGATCCCAATCAAGAATTAACTTTCAGGATAGCTTCCGGCAATCCAGAGGGATTCTTTACTATCAACACTAAGACAGGTGAGTCTATAGTCAATATTATTATTTTAAAACCATTTTTTTTTTAATTTTGTAACATATTACGTTAAAAAATGTGTGACAAAACAGTCAAAATACATGTCGAAAAACAATTCGGCCATGTTGCAATATGGTTTATCCCTTAACCACTACAGCAACTGTCGACTCTTTTAGTGTTATTGTTATTGAAAGGGTTGCTCCTTCCTTTCTTGCTAGGGCAAGTTAAAAAGCCAAAGGATCGAAATTCAGACCGACATTATAATTTTTCCTGGCCAGAGATCTTTAGTGATAAACTTTAAGTACCTCGGGGTATATGGTCGGACCTTATCCCTTTTGTTTATTGTAATGTGAAGGGCAAAGTAGACCCTTTTGTTTTTAACTGTGCGTAGTTTGGACGTGGCATATGTTTAATTAGTTTTAAGGGTCAAAAATACTTTTATATTAACTATACCGGGTGTGGCATCGTCGGACGGGACAAAATCTGTTTGAGTGGAGCCAGACGCGTGTTTATTTTACACAGTTTGCTTTTAAACGCTGTTGAATCCGAGTCAAAATTTTAGTTATTAGTGTTAATTAATACATAATTAGTAATTAGTGATATTTATAAATAGTAATGGATGAGCGAAAACAGAAAAAAATGGTCCAAGGCCTTGAGAAGAGATGAAAAGAAAAACGTTAAATTATCCTCTATTTTTACGATTTATTGTTTTGAAGATCATTTTGATGTAAGTTCATATATTTATGTATATTGTCTTACATAAGTATATGCAATTTGAATGTACAGGGTTATTCATTATATGATGACAAACATTAAATAAAAAAGTTGCATGGTTTTTCATATACTCTCTTTTAAAATTAATTCTAGTTATACAGGGTGTCTCAAAAAAGGTGGTCCAGAAAATTGTAGGTATTTTTCGCTTTACAACTGTCAATATTTCGTAAACATTTGAAGATAGGTATAGGATTTTATAGATGAAATATATCTAGAATATCTAGAAATTTCCGAAGAATTCAAAAATATATAGGGTGTCTCACTTAAAAAAGTAACTTAATTTTGGCGTTTGCTTATGGGACACACCTTGTATAATATTTTCATTACTGATAAACAATTTATTTCCTATAATTTCGTAAAAAAATAATCTTTAAAAATAACAAGGGTAAGGGGGTGTCAATATATTAAAAAAAAAACTTTCTTTTTCACGCTATGCTCTGGAGTTATTTTTCCACGTACTAAACAAATATTTTTGTCTCTTTTCACTTCTACATAACCTACAGCATTATCTCCGTACGTCTCCCTACCTGATCTGAAAAATAAGTTTATAACATTAATATTTATAACTATATAAACTTTCGTAACAGTAGGTACCTACTTATACTTAAATATGCCTCAGTACTACAAAGAATAAATGTTACATACCTCTCTGTTGTACCTCTCTCTGTACCACATTGTCTTCTAGCAAGCCAATAGAATGTGGAGTACCACAAGGCTCAGTACTAGGCCCTATTTTGTTTCTTCTTTTTATTAACGACATTGCTAACATAAACATCAGTGGCAAAATATGTCTTTTTGCGGACGACACTAGCTTCACTTGGAGCAACAAGGACATCGCGGCACTTCATAGGATTATATCAAATGACTTAATCACCATTAAATCTTGGTGCGATTCGAACCTCCTGAGTCTCAACATTTCTAAAACTAAGGCTTTGTCGTATAAAAACTCGTTGCAGCCTTTTGTACTTGACAACACCACCATTGACGTCGTAAAATCCGTAAAATTCTTAGGGCTTGTTGTGGACAATTCTCTGAAATGGGACATACATATCGAAGCTTTGTCGAAAAAATTGAGCTCTGCCTGTTTTGCATTAAGGTCTGTTTCTAAGGAGCTTAACTTGTCAGTGGCTAGAACTGTTTATTATGCACTTTTTGAGTCGCACCTCAGGTATGCCCTTCCATTCTGGGGTACGTGTTGTGCGGCTCAATTTGACCGCATTTTCAAGCTCCAGAAGAGAGCTGTTCGATATTCACTGGGACTAAACAGCAGAACTCATTGCCGGGGCTTTTTTAGAGAATTAAAAATATTGACTCTTCCTTCCTTATTTATATTTGAATCCGTTTGCCTAATACGTAAACATGTATCAGCTTCTCAAGAAAGGCCATCTCACACTTATCCACTCAGGAACGCGGAGCAAGATCTTTATCTACCTACCCCACGCTCAGAGTTAGTTAAAAGTTCAATATTATACAACTCGAAAAAAATGCACAATCACCTGCCATTTGAAATCAAATCCATAACATCATTTTTTTCATTTCGCAAAGCATTGAACTCTTATTTACTAGACAAGGCTTTCTACGCCGAATTATATTTGAATTGAAAATCGAATTTGATCTTGAAAACACTGGTCTAATGTTTGCTATTGCTATATTTACTAATGACATCGAAATTAATTTATTTAGAGGTCATTGATATTTTGCTATAAACTGGCTAAATATTTTTGAATATTATTTTAATTTTTTTTGTTCTTTGACATTGTAAACATTTATATATGTTTATTTTAACAATAAGACTGACAATATTATTTGTATAATGTTTTGTATTATCTTTTGTTTGTTTGTTTGTTTGTGTACCTTGTTTTTTTACTTTGTTTGTTAGTTTACCTTTGTCCACAAATTGAAAAAATTTTTGACAATAAAGGCATTTATTTATTTATTTATTTGTTTTTTTCCTCGTAATTCAGCACCAATAAATTGGGAATTTGTATTTATAAAAGCAGCCAACATAAAAGCATCGACTTTTGGCAAGTTATCTGATTGTGCTTTTACAAACCCGGAATCTGCCAATACTTAAAAAATTCTCAGAACACACAACACATACAAATAATAACTGCACAAAAAAGCATAAAAAGCTCCTCCAATCAACGCTAAAAGCAACAAAAATGTCTTAGTACGCCACCTAAATACGTAATAATAATTACTTACTTACGGGCCATTAATTTATTTAAAATAAATTAATGGCCCGTTTTATAAAATTGTGGTACTGCTTTCAAGAAAAAAGTTTTTTTTTTGCATTTACACATATTTATTCTAATAAATTGAACAGTTTCTGGCGAAAAATAAAATATATGCATCTTCCTCGTTGGACTATTTCGTTTTTTAAAGTAATAAGATGTTTTAAAAATCATGAAATTTTGATTTTTCAATTAATTATTTGATAACTGCTTGGTTACTTTTGAATCGCCATAACTTTCATAAGTTTATGTTGATTAACCATGCAGTTAGCAACCCATCAGAACAAACTTTTTGTCTTCAATTTTCTCGAAAACCATCGCTCCGGGCGATGTGCAACAGGAGTATCTTTTTCGTAGGAAAAAGTATGTAGTTTTCAAAAAATGAACCCACGTTGCAAAAAAAATAACCTCAAAAAAGTTATTCACGAAAAAATACTCTATCCTTGCAAAAACTACCCTTTCCGCTTTTCCAAATAATTTTTCAGTATAACCATTTGATTTAGGGTCAAAATTTATGGCAGGGCATTTTTTTTCGAAATCTTATCTCGTTTTCTAAGCCTACAATTTTAAAACAAGCGTTTTTTAAATTCACCTTATCAGTGCCCCTAACTCCCTAACTCTTTTACACCATTTAATCCTTTTACACCATGCCCCTAATTCCTTTACACCATTTCAATGACACCCTGTATAATGAAAATTTCGAATGGTATGACGTAAAAAACCATTTCCACCACTTAAACTAGAACAACACAAGCTGCTGCAACTCTATGATAAAAAAGATCTCTCTCTTGAGGCAAACAAAATCTCGACCACATAATTGAATTTAAAGTTGGTCCCAACTTGGCAAATAATAATAATAGCACGTAAAAAACTTGGCTGAAAGGCAAAGTTTGCCGATGCCCGCCCAACTCGTGAAATAATATGATTAGCCCTCGATTCGTTGAAACTATAACTGGGAGAAGGACAGACGATTCAAGAAGGGATACGTTTCGACAGTGGGCGGGAGCGAGATAGCGAGAATTTTGCATCGGGTTTCCTTGGGCCGGGTCTTAATTGGTTTTTGACGTAAATTCGAGAAACTTCGATTGAATTCGACAAAGTATAAAGTAGGAAAATAAGGTTTTTCAGCTGTTGAAAATAGGGGAAGGAAAATAATTGTGAAAACTGTCAGTTCTGTAGTATAGCGCGGGAAATCTTAAATTTTTGTTTTTATAGTGAAATATATTTTTGCATTAATAGATCTACAGGGTTGTTCACCACATACGACACGGAGTATTGCAGCTGAACGATTAGATTTTTACAAATTGTAAGTTTTGGGTTCGTTGAAGGACTATTAGAGCTACAATTTAAAAATATTTTCACAAGATACAGAGTGTCCCAAATAAATAAAAAATATCAAAGTTGTATTTTTTTAAATGGAACACCCTGTATATTATTACATTTTTAGTTTCTACGATTCAAATAAAGGTAAATTTGATTAAGGTTTATTACACTTAAACCTTACCGTTTTTTGAAATATTTTCAATTTTATTGAAATTGCAGTCAAAATTTAAGGCTTCATTTTTTTCCCAAGGGTGTCAAAGTTTTTAATACTAAATATTTACTGAAGTTTATTTATTGATCAGTTATTGTGTTGCAATAATAAAAAATAATACTACCTTATACAGAGTGTCTAAAAATTTATTTTAAATAATTATTAGCTTCAAACGGCAATAACTTCTTTAATTTAAATGGAATGCCCTGTATATTTTAGGAGAATCAGATGCACAATTAAATTGTCTATCAAATTGTATTATACCATTTCTTACCTATCCCTTCAAGTTTTCGTAGAAAATGCATTTTCTTATAATTTAGACCTTATTTATCAATATATCCATGGAATATTGACATTTTAGATTGTTTTTAAAGCAACAAATGTAAAAAATGTACAGAGTAGTAATATTATCGTTTTTAGCAAAACGATAATATTACTAGCCCATTTGTATGCAAAAAGAAAA